GAGAGAGAGAGAGAGAGAGAGAGAGAGAGAGAAGGGGAGAGACAGATAGACAGAGCGAGAGAGTAGCGGGAGAAAGTTGATAAAAGATTTTTTTGAAAGAGAGAGAGAGAGAGAGAAAGTGGAGAGGGATAGAGATCGTAAGAGACAGGGAGATGGCAAGAGATAAAGACCAATGAACCCGTCTGTAAGAATAGCCAGCGGCCTCTGGCTCACATACTTGCACACATACATACTTGCACATACAATATCGGCTCACATACTTGCCCCGTCTGCAGCTAGTACTGTTGCTAGTACACACGCATACTGCTCAAGGCAGTCTTTCCTCGCACGTTTACATATAGAGTAACCGTAACAAACCATGCGATCACACCGTTGCTTCTCCCACATAAATTCTAGGAGTACTTAAAAATAGGTGGCTAGAGTATAATTACATATACGAGCACGCGTGCTTCGTATCACGTTTCTGTAAGCGCGATTATGTTGGAAAATGTCGCTTATTTTTTGACAAGAGCAGGCAGTTCGACGTCGTTAATATTTTTTGCACGCATGTGAATGCAAATTTTTTGCAACGAATTCATTCTCATTCACGCCTTACTCTTGTTTCGCTCCACAAATGCAACCAGAAGCTAGGCAACGAAATAGTCTTCCTACGTATTGTGATACTATACACAACCTTCTGTTTCTTTAGAGTTGAACTGCCGAATATCCGCAAGTCTCATCTAGTATTTACAATGTAACGCATAAGTGACAGGATAGCGATGCACAGAACAACGCGGATTGTAGATAAATTTTCGCGCGTATATATCTGCTCGCGTGCACGCACGCGTGTGTATGTGTGTACATGCTTGCGTAATGTGTACGTGGGTTCGTGTGCACGCGTCCGACATGCTGGGCCCTTCTGTAACTGTCCGACATGCTGGACGGTCTCAGGCCATTTGTATTGTCTACAAAAGAGCGCGGACGTTGCGCAAGACAATACACGCGCGCGCGGGATATCACGCGAACAGCAGGGAGCCGTCTGGATATAGTCATTGAACCAGTAGAGCAGTCGCTGCCACAAACCCGACTCGAGTCCAATGAACCCTGCAGGCGTGCAGTGCGAACGCTACCGGCAGGAATTAAGCTAGGTCTAGGTATCCGGGAAACACAACTTTATAGTACGATAAGCTGCAGCTACTCGAGCATGAATCGCACCGGGATCCGGCATATACGCGCCTCTGGTGGCGGCTAGAGGATCGCGGGTAGGATCTATGATCCAGTCACGGAATCCATCCAACACGTTTTCATATCAGATCACGCTATGATATTCGGTCTGACAAGAATTTATGATTAGGTTAGAGCATGACCATGTAGGTGTTGGTGAATGCGGAAAGGCGCAATGTCGGAATTGATGCAGAACAATTCTAATCAGATATAAAACACGTATGCGCAAGCAATTAAATTCTCGTAGCGCGATAGAAAGATGATAATGTGCGCTTGTGCGCGTGTAGTATGCGCGCGTGTGTGTGCACGTATGTGAGACAGAACTATAAAGGGAGAGGAGCGGAAAAGGGAGAGCGAGCGAGAGACAGACAACGATATATATATATATATATATATATATATATGCAAGATATAAGCAAGATATTCATGCTTTGCAAACGGTATGTTTGACCTGTCAAACAGACGGATATGAACCGCTTTATCGGGCCTAAAGCCTCGGGTCTCAAGCCTCAAGTATAGTTATACGGTCTAACACCCTCCAAGCTCACTATACCTTCATCTCGTGGGCGTGTTTTGTACGATTGCTATACTTTTGGCGTCTACGACTATGGCAACTCATTTTTCACCCACGCGGAAAATGACTTCCGTGGGTGATTCGAAGCCGCGCGCGTCACAGTCGATTTGATGAGATGGTTGGGTCGTTTGGAATATATTGAAGTTTACTACCACATAGAGATAGATATCTTTGGTTGGAACACCCGCAAAACCAATGCCGCCAGCTGTTGTACATTCACCCGATCTCATAGGTTAACACTAACGTCATTCAGTTCTGGAAACCTTATTAAATATCTCCTTTCATCCATCTTTATAGCTTCAATCGCACCGGGATTGACTGGTTCGCCGATTCGTACTCTGTATCCCACATAGGTATAAAGTGCGTCCATAAAGCAGCTTAGACTTGTACATGGTGCCAGCCACCAAGCGCGTGCACATCGCATATCGAAAATCCTCTACATTCTAAAATTTGTATGAGCATGAAAAGCCCCGATTTTGTGTATTTTCGATATGTTTATCCCATTTCGCACTTACGCCATTACGTACGCTGCCCATGAGACTATAGTTGCTTTAGTTTACTTTATTTGCACTGGCATGAACCAGTAATATAATCGTAGCATAAACAGTATAAATAGTAATCTAAATGTATACAATATTGTATATGAATATAATTTTACGGTATATAATTTTGATATACTACTGAACTGTAAAAATCGTTAAAATATAACTGCCAAACATAATATCATAATGAGACAAAGGAAACCCGAGTAAAAGTAATACTGAAAGATAAAATATTTTCAACTATACTGAAATGTACGAGCTCCTTCTGTGTACTCTTGCCGGACCATATTAGGTTAAGCCGCTTACATCGTTGCGGTGGGCATGAAGCGCGAATAATTCTCCATCCGCAGCGAACGTCAAAATGCTCTAGATCAGGACATTAGTTGATTCCTACTAGTACTGAACAATAAACAGTGGCGCCCAGCGCTTTTAATCGAAAACAATAGTAAAAGCTTGACTCGTGTGATCCTTTAGCTTAAGAGGGAAATTGGTTATTTGCCCTTTATCTCCGACTTCTGACCCTTAATTCCCAGTTTTAAACTGCGGATGCCCTTTTGGACTGCACCTTCTGCATGGCACATATAAACAATGTAGGTAAATTCCTTTAGGTATACTGCCATTGTTGATGTCCCAACGGATGCAGGGATGCTTGAGCACCCAGACGTACGTGCGAAAGCACGGGACGCACAGACGCAAATCGATCTTTTACGATCTCCACTCTTACGAGCTCAAGTCTACGTATATGAGCTAAAAAGTGAAAGTGAACTAGTTTTATCACTGCAGCGTAACAATTCTCGTGGAAATAAACGAATTCTCGGGTATCCGGCAGGTCATCCGACATTGTCTCCTACTCGTATGCGAAGTTGCGGGTGATCGGTAAGAAACCTGACTGCAACGCCCGAGGCAGGCAAAACCAGGAGGGCAAAAGCCGAGAGAATTATATGTGCACTGGAACAGGCGTCACGTCACGCTGTTGCAGTCAGACAATCGTGCATCGAATAGCAAGCTTTATGGAGGAGTCCGAAATAATAAAAGCACTGACCGCATCTGACATTGCGCAGATCGCACAGGGGCAAAGTCAACCTGACGGCGTCCGTGCAGACGCTCTCTTCCCATTCCCCCGACGATAAAACATAATTGGGCCATTTTTCTTTTCAGCGTTTTCAGAGGGTCATTGTTGGCAGCATTCCACGCCCGCGCGGGAAAGCGCTCGCATAGTCTCGCTCACGTTTTGTCTCTGAACTGCATGCAGTTGTCTGACAAGTACTGGTTGACTTCACAGGCCGCTGCGCGCCGATGCAACGCGAAGCGAGATTTCGGCACGCCGCCAAGAGAGAGAGAGAGAGAGAGAGAGAGAGAGAGAGAGAGAGAGAGAGAGAGAGAGAGAGAGAGAGAGAGAGAGAGAGAGCGCGCCGGATGACCGCAGTTTGCGAGGGTCAGTGCGAGTCCCCGCCGATGTAAACGAACCCGGGAAGAAACTGGCTGAAAACGCGCTTTTATCTGTCATCAGCAAGACTCCTGACTAATGGGAAGACCCCCACGGGAGTGTTCGCACTTGTGGGAATATAGCTAGTGCCAACAATAGGGCTGCGATTAACGACCGACTGGGTTATGACCAAGGATAGGGTTATGCCTATATAATGATAGGATTAGGACTATGTAAGAATAGAGTTAGGAACTATATAAAGATAGGGTTGTGGCTATGTAAGGATATGGTTAGGGCTAACGATCACACTATGGGTAACAATAGGTTAGAACTAGCGATGGAGCTACGAATAAGGTGAGGGTTAGGGCTATCGGCAGGGTTAAGACTAAACCGACCAGGCTCTCCGACTGTTACACGACGGAGGACAGTAGCCTCTCGCCACGTAGTGTTAAGCGAGATGGGAACTTGTGGCTAGGTTAAGACTAACGACGGAGTTAGGGCTAACAATATGGGTAGATACTCGAGCTACGTTACTGTGCCCATTGTTTCCCTGCATTGTTTCCCTAAGATTGACCAGTAAGAGGTGAGCACGAATATCTTTCCCCAAGGACGTGATACGCTCTGCCGTTCTCCGCTGTGCTATTTGCGTCGCGTGTTGCTGGGTGTTGTCCGCGCCACAACGTATATGCTCAACTACTACTAGCCAGCCGGATGCACTTTACAATAATGCTCGGGGAGAAAACGGCATTTTCGCTGCAATATCCCGCAAAAATTCGTCGAGCTATTTGTTCCGTGCGCGCGAGCTATAGCGTGCGTGCGTGCGTGCGTGCGATCATACTTGCGAGCCTGAGTGCATGCCTGCGTGTATACCTGCGTGCGTTCGTGCCTGCGTGCGTGCGGGCCATGGCGTGACTCATCGGAAATACTCGCTTAGAAACGCGAGGTCGGCGGTGCGGAGAAGTAGTTTGAGAATCAGCTTACGGCGCGATAAGTGTCGCGCGCTCAGTTGTTCGCGCGGGACGGCTCGCCACTGTTGGCTTGCTTGGCCTCGCTGGTGCCCACTATACTCACCGATACCAGCCGCAAGGTCGCCCGCACGCACACATTCACGCGCACACACATGCGCGCGCCCTCACACTTACACATAGAGAAGCGCACACGCACACGTATGCGCACGCACACGCA